TAAAAATAAGTAAATGGCCTAGTATCCCCTTGCCTGTTTATTTCTATTAAAACGTGCCCTCACCCTAGTTTCTCTGTCAAATAATTCCGAAGAAAATTTGCATGCAAGATTTGAAAATGGAAATGTCCCATGCATAGTTGCAATCCTTAATTAACAACACTATTATATCTAGGCGATCTTCAAACTGCTGCTGAGGCTGTTGTTGCTGAGGTAGTTGAGGATGATCCAGGCCATCCGGGGAGACTTCAAAACCCAGCACCATCAGCTGCTCCATCTGAGGATGCCTGGGTTACGGTCCACGAGATCCACATCTCTGGACATGAGGATTTCCCCGGCCCCGCAGTGCCAAGCGAAGAATCTGCAAAAGGTAATAAATATTTGTAGCAGATGATGCCTTAAAAGCTATTGACCAAACATAAAGAATAAAGTAACTTTATGGTGTCAGCTAGCTTTTATTTTTACATGCATTGATATGGCTGTGGTTGTGGATTTCTTAGTCTAACAAGGAATTATTTCTCAACAGCCTTCTTCGAGTACTTCTTTAAGGGCTCCGGCTCCGAATCAATGGACACTGACGACACTGCCCAGCAGCCTGCCATGTCCGGTAAGTGAAATATATTTTTGTAGTTGTAATGCACCCCTTGCACACTCTAAATTGGGAGGGACAATTTTTGTACCTAGGTTAGACGTGTCTTTGAGCACATCTTCAGTAGATACAAACTGTACCTAGGCTAGGTACAAATGCTGTATTTTGTATGTAACATAGATACAAATTTGTATTTGGTTTGGATGTGCACAAAGGCTCACTCTAAAATCTTATGAACATTTTAATTCATAGCGTACTGAGTTCTGTAAACATGCCCCGCTTATGCATTTTTCAATACGCCAGTATAAACAAATTTCTCAGTAAGCTATGAATAAAAATGTTCAAAAGATTTTAGAGTGCACTTCCAGCCTACTTACAAAAATAGTCCCTCGCCATTTAGTGTGTGTGCAAACGACCTGGTTCCTGTCTGTCGCCTTTGAAGGTCAGCTGAACGGAATGCATTCCAAGACGCAAAAATTTCGTCTGTTTTGCCCTATTTCTCACCACTGCGAGGCGCCAGAGGGTAGTAGAGGGGCGTAGTAATGGTCATCGGACAGCGGGGTAGCATACAGCAGGTTGCCGCAGGTGTTTTATAGATCAAATTGCCTGTCAGGCGGCTTTCTAACGCCGAGAGGGAAGCCCCCCCCCCACCCGCACACACCAGTACCCGTCTGCGAGGCATTCGCCGAAGGGGATAGGAGATCTTTCCGAGAGTGCGTCCGTCATTCGCCGTTGCGAAACGCCAAATCTCAGCCGTGCACGCTCTCATAGCGCCTGTTGGGTAGGCAACATCTTGCCTGCAGTGCACGTATGTATCGCGGGGTGGCCTACCCAGCGTCTCGCAGGCGCCGAGCTCCCGTAATTTGCAGAACGATTCTAAGAATGAGCTAGTGTTTTAGATAGGGTGAGAGGGCGCGTCACCAGAAATCGTCTCTCTCCTACTCGCCCGATCTAAAACACTCGCTCATTCTTAGAATTGGCGAGGATTCGGCAGCTGGAGTCTCACAGCTGAAAAAGGACGAGATCATCAAGGAGTTCCGAGGCAGATCGCGACAGGACGACGCCTTGGACTTCTGCAGGGAGAGGGTGTCGGAAAACTTCTTCAAGCTTCTGGAGTGCCAGATCAAGAACTATGATCGGGCTCCAAAGCGAAGAAGGTACGACGACGGCACGAAGGCGCTCTACCTGGGGATGCACAAGCGAGGCAGGGCGGGCTACAACGCCTTCCCTGGCATCAAGCCCACCAGGAAGACGCTCCGCGCCGTCACCCTCCCCCTGGACCTCAAGCCGGGACTCAGCCCTGTCCTCTTACATGCTCTGACCAAGAGGGTCGAGGTGATGTCCGACAGCGCCAAGGACGTCATCATCATCGTCGATGAGACCGCGGCGGTGCGTTGGCTCTCTTACGACCAACCCAACGACGAATTCATCGGCCTCGTCGACCTGGGAAACGGTCGTAAGTTACCGTGGCCCGCCGAGGAAATCATGGTCGCGATGGTGCGTGGCATCTTTGGCGACTGGAAGCAGCCCCTCGCCTTCTGGCCAACATGCAAGAGGTTAACCGGCGTACACTTCAGGGACATGTTCAAGGAAGTGATTGAAGCTGTACTCACCGTGGGACTTCGAGTGCGGGCCATCGGGATGGACGGCCTGGGGAAGAACTACACGGCTGTAGAACTGCTTGGCGCCAGTCTAGAAGACCCGTGGTTCTTCCTCGGGGGCCAGAAGATCTACGTCATCTCTGATGTTCCGCATCTCCTCAAGTGCCTCCGGAACGCGCTCCTCAAGTACCCTCTCGAGCTCGGCCACTGAGAGTTCTACCATCTGCAGGAGAAGCCCACGGTGAGAAAGCAGTACATCGACGAGTTCGTGCGGTTCGACCTGACGGTGCACCCACAGCTCGCCCCCAAGGTGACCATGTCCCATCTGTCGCCGGGGGGCTACGCCAAGCAGAATGTGGCGCAGGCAAAGCAGCTGTTGAGCAGGCCAGTCGCGACGGGGGTCATGATGATGTCCATGCTCAACGTCATGCCCCCGGAAGCGAAGTTCACAGCTGCGTTCTGCGACCGCATCAGCGACTTGTTCGACTCCCTCAACGGCACGAAGCACGTGGCCAACCCTCCGCCTGGCTTCTACAAGTGTGCCATCACACTGACGTCAGGACACGAAGAGCTCTGGAGCCAGATGAACGAAGAGATCCAGTTTTGGAGGTTCCCTGGATCTCAAAATCTGAAGTTCCCAGAGCACTTCCTCCTCACCCTGCGTGCGGTAGCACACTTGTGGGAGGACCTGCAGGCGGAGGGAAGAGCATACCTGCCTGTGGGGAATCTAGCAAGCGACGTGATTGAGAACTTCAATTCCGTGCTCCGGGACTGCGCCGGGCCGAAGAGGGCCTTCACGGTGAAGGAGTTCCCTGCAATTTTTTGCTCTGCGCTGGTCAATCAATTGACAGCAACAGCAAAGGGCAAAAATTGCAGGGACGACAACGCCCTGAACCTCCTCCACCTGGAGACGCTGCTCGCAGCCGCCAGGGAGCTTCCCCCTCGGCCTCCACCACCAGTGCTGGACCTGCAATTCCTCCAGCAAGAAGCTGAAGTGGAGGAAATGGAGGCGCCAGAAGAGGCGGACGAAGAGGAAGAGGAGGAGGGGAAAGAAATTGATGTCAACGGCAACGTACCTTTACCGATGCGGCCCTTGGTGCCGGAGGAGCAGTTCCGGGCCAGGCAGATGGAGAGGCTGCAGGAGGTCAAGTCGGCCCACGTAGCTGCGCCCATCGTGCAGAGGCACTGCGATGCGGTCAGCTGCGAGGAGTGCTGCAGCCTGCTCCAGTGTGAGGCCACCTTCCCTCTCCACCTGGTGAGCACACTGACGGAAGGGCCTGCAACTCAGAAGAAAGTACCAGCTCAAAGTGCTGTTGACTGCTTCGCCGCCATCCTCCAGTGTCAAGTGGACAACATGCCTTCTCACATCCAACGTCATCATACAAAAGTGCTCGCAAGTTTTGTAGAAGAGTATGTTGTTCACTTACCTGCAGTGCAAGCCGTGAAGTTTTGTCAGCAGCACAGCGAGCAGAAGACAAAGCTGGTATGGGACTTCTGCGTTGCGGCCCTCCAAGATGTGGTGCTGGTCATGAACCAGGTCCTCAAAAAGCCAGTCAAGAGGAACTGCGAGAAAAAGCATGCCATCATGTCACACTCATAGTTTTTTTTTCTTTTTTTTTTCTTCATAGTTTCATCATAGTTTTTTTTAGTTGCAAAGGTTATTTATTTTCTGTTTTTGAGATGAAAAAGTTTATTTATTTTCTGTTTTTGAGATGAAAAAGTTTATTCTTTCTAATTATTCAGCATGCAACCATTATGTACTTTGCATGATATATATTTATGTATTTTCTGTTTTTGCTTCAAAGTTTAAAGTTTACTTTGCTTGTTTAAATTATTCAGCCTGAGTTCAGCACATGCATGTACCTTGCATGATATATATTGATGTATTTCCTGTTTTTGCTTCAAAGTTTACTTTGCTTGTTTAAATCATTTAGTCTGAGTTTAGCTTATGCATGTACCTTGCATGATATGTATTCATTTATTTCCTGTTTTTGCTTTGTCTTACAAAGTTTCAAGTTTACTTTTCTTGTTTAAATTATTCAGTCTGAAATTTAGCACATGCACGTACTTTGCATGGCCTATACAATTTATGTTTTCATTTTGCTAAATTGTGCAAGTTTGATATTACTTTTTGGCTGAGCAATAGCCAAGCCTATTACACCAGTGATGATCAAAAAGTTTTGCATATGTCTGTTTGTTTGTGTTAAAGCTTGTGAAATCTATCCAGTTCTTGATTTTCTATTTGTCGCTCACCAAAGACTTTGATCACTTAACAGCGTTCCTAATTGCTTGCTCTAATTTTAGTTTATATAATTTTGTTCATTACAATTCAAAATCAAGTTTATAGGTAAAAAGTTAATTTTGCCTTCCATGTCCTTCTTGTTTAATTGAAACAATTCATGTACGTTGCAGTCTGCTATTGCAAGACCACTAAAATTTGTTCCCTACGGAAGAAACGTACCAGTCACTTTGCTTTGTTAAAATTTGAGTTGCTATCCAGTATTTTAAAATTCAAAGTTTATTCAAAGCCTTTGATTTGTTATCAGTAACACTAGCATCATTTATCCTAAATATTTTTAAACCCACCCTTCTGTTTTGAAAAAGCTATCAAGTGGGTTTGTGCAAAGGCCCTGGTGTCTATCTGTTCCTTTTAAAGTTAAACTGGAGACTTGTTTTAAAGACTGTTTTCATTATCTGTTGTTTTTATCCCAATGATGTATATACTGCAACTGCAATACTCCACTGATGTGCAATTTTTTCTATAGTAATTTCAAAACTTTGATTATAATTTTGCTGGGACATTCCGTGATTGACAGGTATGATTTGTTCTGATTAACATTCTGAATTCTTCAACGCTGTTTGTATTGTTATTGTACAATTTACTGAATTCGTTACTAGTTGTGACTGAAAATTACTTGTATTAATTTAATGAAGTTAAAACCTATGCTTGTATATCTGGAGAGTTGATTATTTTCTGTCATTATATTACATTTAAATGAGTACAACCAGAAAAAAATACTCACCAAATTGACAACATAACCTACATAGGTTATGACTCCACAACAAGTCGACTTTTTCCGTTCGGCAACGAGCCGACAATATGTAAAACACAACACGCATTGGACCAAAATAATATTAGATACACTCGTTGAACCAGAAACTCCTCCCATTTCTGAATTCATTCAAAAAATCACACGACAAACTTTGAGACTTCTTCCCTTCGCGGCTCCCTCACCCAAACAATAACGCACCGTCACGTACCAACACGCATCATTAAAATAGACAGTTTTCAAACTCGCATCTCGCCACATTTAACGCAAATAGGCGCAAACCACATACGCAGACTTACATTCTGGGCATTTTCCTACAATTTTTAATTCATGAAAATCAGAAATAAAAAAGTAAATCAGTAAAGTTAGGGGAAGCTCCAGTTTTACTGTTTGGGTAGTGGCCTGACAGGATTTGGATGGCCAACAACAACAATGGGTAACATCAACAACTAAAGCGTCGGGCACGGCCCCATTGTAGATCCCCCCCGTGCAACCCCAACACTGGCTCGGGCAGCCCACAAGAAAAAGATCACTGCAAAATCTTCAAACGTTATTTTGGTGTTTTCAAAGTAGGAACCTTGTGTTAGGCATTGCTACTTCTTGCACTTTTTGCAATAGGCTGCAAAACCACCTGAAAGGAAAAATGCCGAAAATGTAGGAACATTGTAATAAAACACCTGTTTCTGGCCACAGGTACATACCCTTGAAATCCGTGATCTTGTATAAGACTTGCATGTTCTCAGATTTTGGGCATTCTTTCAGGGGTCTTAAAAACCGCTCTTTCTGATAAAACTGGACGATTTCTATGTCGGATTTGTTGCGAAATAGGGCATAAATGTCTCTCAAAGTTTTCACATCTTTCAGCTCCATTTTACCGGAAGGGAATGGGGAAGGGGGCGTGATTACAGTGCCAAGGTGGATTAAGGACGGTGGTGGCACTTCGCTCCCAAGCGCTCACCAGAAGCAGGCCAGTCCGCGAGCGCAGCGTTGCCTACTGCCCAGGGTGAGGGGCCGGCCGGCGCGCGGCGGCTTATGGAGCGCGGACGTTTTTTCGGCCCTCCCGGGCTTGCCTTTGACTTTTCGAGAGTGGATGTAAGGATATCAGTTAAAGAGCACGTCTTAACCCATCAAATAAGCCCTCGCCCAGCTTGATAGCACGACCCAGTCGGCGAAAGCATCAATATACATTTCACGGCAAAAGCCCAAATCGCGACGCGGCTGCGGTTTTTCGCTCCTGGCGCCTTTCCTGTTCATTTTGGATGGGGGTTGAATGCGAGGCGATTGTAGGGAACGAAAAGAGCTTTCAAACGCGCAAAGTCCGAACTCTGTACGACCATCCTGTGCCGAACGCCGATGACAAACGTACGCGCTCCCGGCTGTACCGCGTGGCCAGCGCCGGCCAGCGCCGCCGTGCTGCCGCTGCCGCCGATGACAAACGTGCCGGCGCAAGCAGGGGCCGGGCCTGCTTGGCCTGCCGGCGGCGATGGTCGGGCCTGTGGCCCGACCATTTCAGTCTCGCGATTTACTAAAGAACATAACCAAATAAATAATGTGACCGGTAAATCACTTTGCATATTTGGGTAAACAAACTTCCGGTGGGGGGCCTGCGGCCCTAGAGATTTGCCCCTTTCACATGACAAAAGACTGTAACGGGGCAACACCACGACTACACCCCACCCTTCTGCTTTGCTAAAGAAAAAATACCAAAAAAAGAACCAGCGCAGTTTTTAGATTGCATTGTTTGTCAAACAGTCTTAAAACTTGACTTTTTGCCATTGTTTTCAATATGTTCTCCTCTAGGGCCGAAACAGTGAAAGATACGGCAAATCCGAGGGTAGTTCCTGATTCAGAATGTGTTGTTTTTTGGGGGTACTTCCTCTTCCATTTTATGATTGGAAGCCTCCTAGTACGTCTTTGTGTGCAACGTGGTCATTTTCTCCGTATTATCGTCGATAAAAGCACTCTAGCGCCCAAACGGTGCAAGATAGAGTCGAACGGACAAAATTTTTGCCCAAAGGCTTTACTTTTACGAGTTACTCCTCAGGGGACGATAAAAAAAAAAAAATTTCCTACTTTTTTGACCAACCCCTATTTCTTTGCTACCGCCTTTTACCCCCTTAGGGGTGAATGCCAGGATTTGCACCAGGCGTTTCGTTGTCCAGGAGTGACCCCTAAGATACCCTGAAATTTGTAGACCTCTAGCTCATCTCCTT